CCTGGGAAGATGCTCATCAAGAGGGTCCTGAAAGTCAGATGTGGTGGCTCCAGCCTGTTAGGTCAGGACTCTGGAAGAATACAGGTTCCATGTCAGCTTGGTGTACAGTGAAAGACCCTGTCTAAAACACAAACTCTCAAAAATTAAAAGAGAATTGTGTGTGGTATCTCAGGTCTGTAACTCAAGCACTTGGGAGACTTGAGGCAGAAGGACTTCTGTGATTCTGAGGCCAGGCTGTATTGCATAGCAAGCTTTATAGCCAAAGGTATAAAGCAAGACCCCATCTGAAGGAAAGAAAGGAAGGAAGGGAAAGAAAGAAGGAAAGAGGGCCAGTAAGGTAGCTCAATGGGTAAAGAAACTTGCAGCCAAATCTAACGATCTGAATTCAAACCCCAGGACCCATAGGGTGGAAGGACACCCAGACATTGTCCTCTGACCTCCACATGCATACTGTGGCACATATATACACATACATACAATTAAATTCAGAAACTACAGAAACCAGGAAAGGAAAATGGGACCATCGCCAGGACAGTGGGTTGAGGAGCAATAGAGAATGAGATAGAGAAACACCAGTGATCTGTTAGCAGCAGTGGGAAATGGTGGGGGGCACCTTTAAGGAAGAGGGAGGGAAGTAAATACGGAAGAAGGAAGGGAGTGGGTAAATAGCAAAGATGTCTGACAAAAGCCACAGGGAACCACATGATCAATTATTTTTTTAAAACCTATAGTATACACAAATCTCTGTCTAAAACATAAATGTATAGCTTTAACGAACTTTTCTCATCTGGGTTGATGGTCAGTGCTCCCTCTAAGAGCCAAATACCACCTAACAAACCCTAATACCAGATACAAGAAGTTCTCTTTGAGTTGTCCAAGAAACTCCCAAAACATACAGCCAGTTATTGTTGCCCTTGGCAAGAAATGGAAGGTAAGTCCCTATGGCTGAAGACATCATGTAATTTAGAAACAGAATCCAGATAACCCTGAACTGGAACTGACCTGAATGTTCCCTCCCTGAGGATTAGTTTCATGGTAGCAGAAAGCACCATGTAAGCTTCCAAAGGAAGGAGGCAACCAACTGTCCTACCCTATGACACCTATAAACCACACCAATGTGACCAGCATGGCATGATACCCCTACTGGAATGGTAGTGGTACACATATCTTGGTGATAACCAACAGCTTTCTAATTGGACTTAAGAACTGCTCAACAAGAGGGAAACCATGCCTAGTTCTGGCACATAGCTAACTACTCAGTGCTAGTGAAGTCATAGTTATCGGAGGGGAAACTATAGCCACTAACTTACTAAACCAGCACAATCCCTAACAATAATCTATAGATGTTTTCCCTTATACTCACTGTACTGGTTGGTTTTGTGTGTCAACTTGACACAAGCTGGAGTTACCACAGAGAAAGGAGCCTCCGTTGACGAAATGCCTCTGTAAGATCCATCTATAATGCATTTTCTCAATTAGTGATCAAGGGAGAAGGGCCCAGCCCACTGTGGATGGTGCCATCCCTGGGCTGGTGGTCCTGGGTTCTATAAGAAAGTAAGCCAGTAAGCAGCACCCTCCATGGCCTCTGCATCAGCTCCTGCCTCCAAGTTCCTGCCCCGTGTGAATTCCTGTCCTGACTTCCTTTATTGAAGAACAGCAATGTGAATGTGTAAGCTGAATAAACCCTTTCCTCTCCAACTTGCTTCTTGGTCATAGTGTTTTGTGCAGGAATAGAAACCCCGACTAAGACTGCCCCAGATAAGTGTGGTCTTCACCCTCATCGAGTAAACTTCTGTTTCCACCAGAGACCACTACAGAAAACTACAACCAATCAAAATGTAGGATTGTGGAACGCAGTCCCGATGAATATACTTACAAAACGTTCTGGCACCTAAGGCTCAGGGAACATTGTGAAAGAAGAAGCAAAAGGATTGTAAGAGGCAGGGGATCAGGGAGTCTGTGCCATGATACTGTGTCTTCTAATAACATCAGAAGCTATACCCATCATGTCTCAGCAACACGATTGCCCAAATGTGAGCTGAACAAGGAGGACACCAACAGACATGCCAAACTGTATGGGGGAAAAGCCCATGAGGCCTCAACCCTACACAAAGAGCCATAGGTAACTGAGGGAAGCTGGTAGCAGAGCAGGTGTCCTTTTCCAGGGAAGAGCACACCGGTTGGTTGTCCAACGGCAAAGCTCAGCTCTGACAACATACATGCCAGTAACATTAGATAGACTGAATGGGTTATATTTAGAAAACTATGTGTATATGCTTATACAGATCTGAATGCAATGACAATTAATGAAAAAAGAGGCCATGAATTTAAAGGTGAGTCGGGGTAGGTATGGGAGGGTTGAGAGGGAGGAAATGGAGAAATGTTGTAATTATATTATTGTCTCAAAAATTTAAAAATTAAAATAAATTTTAAAAAACAGGGGGCAAAAGGGAAGGAAGGAGGGGAAGATGGGAGAGATAAACAGGGTTTGCATAAAAAACTGGTAAAAGCAAACATGGGGAAGGGGTTAATGTCAAGATACTAGACCTTTCTTTGCTATGATTGCATAATAGAACCCCCTGCCTATTCTTTGAGTCCCAGATACGTCTTTGTACCATTTTCTGCCTCAGAGAACATGTGAACTTTTACCTGCATGGAACAGAAGTGACAAATGCAGTCACTTTGTGCTGTGTAAGAGGTGGCATCAGACACTTCTTTGAAACATCCCCTTTTATTGTTGGGAGAAAATTATGTGAATGGGCCTACATATAAAGTAGTAGTCACTTCTGGGGACGGAGATATTTAGGAGTTGGTGGCTCAAAGGAGTCAAACTCCTGCATAAAACCAAGAGCTGCTGGGCACAGCTGCACACATCTGCAACTCCAGCATTTTCAGGCAAGAGGATAAAATGTCTGAGGCCAGCCAGGGCAACTCTAGACCCTTGTGGGGCAAATGCTGTGTATTTACATGTACTCCCCACCCCTGTAAGAAGGTCTAGAACTTAATCTTCAGATTCTAGAGGCTTCTGGAATCCCACAAGGAGATAAAAGTTTCACTTCTCCAAAGATATGCTTATTTCTGTAGAAACTTTTTTTTTTTTTTGAGAAGATGGCCCAGATGTGGCGGTCTGCAGGACTCAGCTGTCTAGTTCCATGAGGGTCCAGGGATCAAACTTAGATCATCACACTTAGCAGCTAGTGCTGTCTTACCAGCACAACATGTATTTCAGTATGTGGGTTGAAGCTATGTTTCTAGTCATTTATCTCCTCAGGGCAGATTTGTTTCTGATCACTAGCTTCCATCAGGAGCTGAGACCCAGAGAATGGGCAGAGCAGTAAGCTAGGCCTGGTATGCTCTTTCTCAGGCCCAGGACCAGCCTGAACATGGTTTAGCCTGGACCAGACCAGCAAGTGTTACACTGTTTCAACCTGCACAGCCCAGGAATTAGGAAATATCGAAGTATTAAGGGATTGGAATTTACTATTGTCAATCGATTGGCCTTGAGCAACATCACAACATCATCCAAAGAGGAAACAGTTGCTGGCACAGGTGGCAACGAGTTAAGAGAGATGGCTCAGATAGGTAGAGGAACCTGCCTTGCACTCTTTGGGCTTGTTCCATGGGCCAGGCCCTTGGTGGTATTCATACCTGCTAAAGGCAGGGAACATTGACTGTTCCACAGACCAGCTGGGATAAACTCCCATTGCAGGCCCAGAAAGACTGTGAGCAGCCACACGAAAGCATGCAGCTCCTGAGCTGGACTGTGCTCCTGACACTCTGAACCAAAAGCTCTGTTTTGAATCAGCACTGGGTCCCCAGCACCTAACACAGTGTAGTGCAGGCCCTTGGAAAGTAAAGAATAAAGAAGTGTTCACTGCTAGACCGTGGGTGCCTGTGGGGACCATCTCTACACCAGCATGGTGTCACCTCTACTTCTGCCATGGACTCCTGATGACCATGGTGCCAGTATATTTCTCCTCACTAGATATTCTCAGCTCAAGTTCATGGCATCCCGGGTCTGACTGAGGTTGACTGATGGAGACATGCTGAGGACAGGGAGGAAGTAGCTACCGTGGGTTGGAACCAGGATACACGCTTTCCGTTTACTGAATGGGAGAACTGATTTTCATCAGAGGCCATCACCATAGCCACATGCTGGACACTCGAGAGTGAGTCCATCTTTCCTTTGTTCACTTTCCGGTTCACATCTTCAGTCATCTGTTACGTCATCTGACTCGTTCATCTATTCATTCCTTCAGGCATCCAGCATCCACAAACCCTCGTGCAAGACTGGACAGGTGCAGAGCTGCGTTAGCACATGGATGAATAATCATATAACAGAGCAGGTAACATGAGGTGTGTGCACACATCTTACCAAGGGACACAGGAGGAGGGAAGGGAGGGAGGGAGGGAGAGAGAGAGGGGGGGGGTCATAGGGCATTCCATCACCCACTGGGCATTTTGTACCCTATGAAAGGCAGATAGCTGTCTGTCTTATCAAAGACTGGGGTTGGGATAGAAGTTGGGGCTGGTTAAGGACCCCCACCAAGTCTTCTCTTCTTTCTCTCCATGTGTGGTCTAGAAGGAAAGGTTCCAAGTTCAAATGGGCACATCCCCCCGTTTTCCCATCTTCTCGTCTATGATGAGGCCTTTAAAGACCAACCACGAGAAAGAATGAAGCTCTGAGCCTAGGCAGGAGTGGCCCCAGAAAGGAGGCACAGAAACGTCAGGTAACTCTGTGCAGCTGGATGTGTGTGGCTAAGAGCCCATGTTGAGTGCCATGGGAACTTCACATTGCTTCTTTGACACTTTGGCAGGTGGGGCACCTAAAGAACCAAACTACTCTGCCTGCCCTCTGCCCTCTGCTGCCTGCCCTCCCTAGCCCTGAGCGTCCTGCTGGGCCGTGTGCAGGGCGTCTGGCCCCAGGGAGAGGTGGGGTGAGCTGTAGTCCACACCTACACAACTATAAAGAGAGAGCCTGCAGCAGCTGCTACCTCAGCCTCCCTTTCTTAGCCGCTCACACACCTGGACCATGGACCCTGGGGAATGCACGTGTATGTCTGGTAAGTAAGAAAGCCTCCCTGGGGGGGGGGGGGTCTTAAAACTTTACCTCTGTAACCTGAAGGCAGCATGTGGGACTATTGGAAACCCCTTTACTTAGGCGCTTTGGATGAGGTTTGTCCTGAATCTGCAACCTTTGGGTCAGCTTGCACTCTGTCGGCTCCCAGCCAGATGTGCTGAACCGGATAGTCCTGGTCTGGGGAATAGTGATGGAAGGGACCTGAAAACCTTAGTTCTTCTAGCTTCAAATCCCTAGTGGCAGCCACCAGAGTAGGGAACAGAGCTATGACCCAGAACCTGCACGCTTGGTTTTGATCTTCAGCTGCCATTCATTCACCAACGCATCTGATTTATGGGCCTCAGTGTCCTCTTTTGCAAATTGAGGTTACTCACTCTGGGTGGCTCCCATACTATAAAGTCTATGGAAAGGCTAAAATTAGCAAACACAGGGAGATGCTTAGAGGCTTGGCTGGGACCTCAAGTCAGTAAAAGCCAGTTGTGGTGGGACACTCTAGCACTCGGAGGGCTGAGCAGCAGGAAGAGGATCCCATGTTCAAAGCCATTCTGGGTTGCTTGGTGTCAGGAAGAATGTTGACCAGAAGGAGGGAGATCGGGATTCAAAACCATCCTGTGGGCTCTCAGCCTTGAAAAATGGCACCTAAGAGTTTCAAATGCATCTTTCATCCTGAACAGTAGGGAGATCTGTCCCCAAAACTTGGAAAAGATACAGAAAATTCTAGTGTTCTGAAACCGAATATGGTGCACAGGATGAGTTGGGAAAAACAAAGAAATGTTGAGTCCCTTTTATGAAATAGAAGCAAGGTATGGAGCCCCCTGGGATCTCTGTGCCCCTTTCTGCTTTCTGTTCAGGTTTTCCATCTGGCCTTGTCAAAAAGTGGTTATGAGAGCCCTTGATGGTTGTCCTCGTCTGGGGTTAGCCTTGTCTGTTAGTTCTGAATGGACATCTGTATCACCTGTGTTTTTAAACTACTGATTTTTTTCTGCCTCACCCAGAGTTATAAATGAACCTATTTAAAGGCTTGGGGTCGGGAATGTACATTTTCACAGGTCATCCCGGTTTGAGCCCCCAGTCCCCATCCATGGCCTGTCACTAGAACTACTAGCCCATCCAGAGCCCTGGATCACGTTCAGCATCAGCAACGCCATCTTGTCTCGCCTCCCCCATCTCCCCTCCCCACACACACACACCAAGGAGAATCTGTAGCAGTGACCTTGTGCTCACTCAGTCTCTGTCCTCTCTCCTAGGAGGGGTCTGCATCTGTGGAGACAATTGCAAATGCACTACCTGCAGCTGTAAAACCTGTCGTAAAAGTGAGTATTGGCACCTGGACGCTGCCAGGCTCGAGTGTCCCTCACTGTCACTACCTACCCCATGAGGGTAGTACAGGGAATTCTGGGAACTTTTTCTCATCCAGAGGGATATGATATGACATCCAAGGAGACTCCTGGGACAAAGCTCCCCTGGGCTGCAGCCCACCCAGCTCTAAGGACATCCATGGTATTTGAATGTGATATTGGTTCTGACCAGCCCAGTGAGGAAGAGGATAAAGCCTTGGTTTGGAGTACTGAGCCCTGGCTTCTAATCTTATTTCTGTCATGGCTGTGACCTTTGAAAAGCCCACCATCTGTCAGGGGTTCTGATGGACCCTAGGAGACCTCTTAGGTCTCTTCTTCCTCTCATACCCCACAGCCTCCGGGACCAGGGTTTCCTGCTACTTCCTCTAAGGTGCTGGCAGGAGGGTGGGAAGCGAAGGGCCACGGCTCATCTGTCCATCTCCTAACTTTTCCAGGCTGCTGTCCCTGCTGTCCCCCAGGCTGTGCCAAGTGTGCCCGGGGCTGCATCTGCAAAGGGGGCTCAGACAAATGCAGCTGCTGTCCCTGAATCCCACCTATGGCACTGGGAAGTGACTACATAGAACCTGAGTCGAGGGATTGAATTTGTATAATAAGTTGTGCTTTTTATATGTGTGCCCACATGTGGGGCCGGTGACGTTCTTGGAGCAATAAAGTTTCCATTCATGGCTGTCTGGTGGCTCGGAGTATTGTTTAACCCTAATGCTAACCAAGAAGGACCAAGAAGGGCTGGCTCTATTGCAGAACCTCTAGCTGCCCACTGGAACCCCACCCGCAGGTAGCTGCTCACTGATGCTCACTTCAAGATACTGCAACTGTGCCTGGGGCTTTCTCCTACTTTACACAGGGCAGCCATGAGTACAGGAGAGTTCATGGCCCTGGAAACAGGTTCTAACCAACACCAAGCAAAACCCAGCATTTCTACACTGTCTTCCAGAAGTCTGCAGTGGCGTTGAGTTCACAGCTAAGAGCCCACAGTTAACAGACTCTTAGGTTGTCTTCCTTATCCCATGTTGTGGTCCTCAACTAGAGCTTTCTGGGATTCCCACTCAAAGAAACCTTTATTTTGTTTTGTTTGGGTTTGTTTTGGTTTGGTTTCCATTTCGTTTAGTTTCCTTTCGTTTTGTTTTGTTTTGTTTTGTTGAGATAAGGCTTCTCAGTGTAGTTCTGGCTGTCCTGGAACTCTATAGACCAGACTAGACTCAAACTCAAGAGTTCCACCTGCCTCTGCCTCCTGAGTATTGTGATTAAAGGTTTATGACATCACCACCTGGGGCCCAAAGATACCCTCTGAGTGAAGGTCTCCCATAATGCAAGTCTGTCTTAGCCTGACTATGCTGGCCTAATCTTGATCCAGGTGAACTCACCCAGCAAAAAGCTTGTGGTTCTGAGCTCTGACCAGTCACGAAGAGAACCTGTATGTGTGTGAAAAAAACAACAGTCGCAGTACCAACACACAGTCACAGTTTAGTTACTTGGGCCAACACCGGGTTGGGGCGACAGACACATACGCCAGCAAGGAAAAAATGGTGCAGACGAAAATAATGTCCCCCAGAGATTTCTTTCGACCTGGGCTGGTTCACCCCTCCTTAGGTAACCTGGTGATCTCCCGCTCCTGGGAGGTCACCATATGATGCCGAACTTATTACGGACACCTGATCGGCATAGCGCACTACAGCCCAGAATTCCTGGACTCAAGCGATCCTCCTGTCTCAGCCTCCCGAGTAGCTGGGACTGCAGGCATGTGCCACCGCGCCAGGCCCCCCAGAGATTTCTTAAATGGCTTTTTAGATGGACTGCTGAACTACTTGGAGATGCCACAGGTAACAAATGACCACTGTGGGTCATTCAAAATGTACTTCTCAGTGCAGCATCAGGTAGAACCCAGTCCATGAGGTACTTTGCATTTATGCCAAGAGCCAAAGGTAAGGCCTTCCTCTTCACAGTCTGTGGGCACAGAGGCAGTGACAATGCAGCCAAGGGTGCCCAAGGCAGCTTCAGGCACAAGGAGGATCGGGATGAACTTCCAACGACTTGGTGCTGAGCAGTCTAATCCTCCTGCCCCCGTTGCTGTTTAGAAATCACCAGGAGTCTCCCTGGGAAAATTTTCACGCTCTGCCCAAGAGCAAGCTGTGCTGCAGAATCAGCATCTTGGAACAATGGAAAGGGCACGGCCTTTGGCACTGGATATTTGGCACCGGGTATTTGGCACCAGATATACCATTTCTGTCTGTGTGGCCTTAATCAAGTCATTCACCCTCTCCAGGCTCAATATCCTCTTCCATCCTCTGTAAAGTCCCCTCCCAGGGATACACAGAGAAACTGTGTCAGAACACCCATGTACAGAGTAGGCTCCCCGTAAAGAAGGCTTTCTCTGTGGCCGAAGTTTACTTTTGGCTTTTGTTTATTAGTCTCCAAGAAAGCCCCTGACTAGTCACCCTCCAAGGCTCTAGAGCGCCTGCCAAGGTCAGGGTGTTGGGAGTTACACCCTTCAGGACCAGGCAGGCTGTCTCAGGCAAGTAAGCTGGCTACTCTTCCTGCAGCCAGGGCCTTCTTGTCTTGCCCAAAGGCCAACAGGTTAGCCATATTAACCTCTTTTCTTTCTAACACACCTTCAAAGGGGAGAACCGCCCCTCCAATTCTCATTTTTACAATAATACCACCAATATAATATAGATGCTTACTATAAACTGAACACTTGACACACCTAGCACTGTGTGAAATGGTTTTGAAATGTTATCTTACAGACTGTTCACAATCAAGAACACTTCAGGGCCAGACAGTCATTGCTACTAGAGCACCTGCCTCAGAGGGTCCCTCTCTGATTACCCTCTCCATACACTGAGAGTCTAGACCAGTGACACAGCTCAGTGGGTAAGCGCTTGCCACATAAGCCTGATGACCTGAGTTTGCTTACCAGAACTCACACGAAGGTGGAAGGACAGAACTGATTCCACAAACGTTATCCCCTGACCTCTACCCGTGTGCCATGGCCAAGCACATATACCATATCTCCTTTTCCTCCTAAACACACACTAAAAGACAGACAGACAGACAGACAGACAGACAGACAGAGGCTTTTTTTAAGAGTGTCTAATGCACCTAGATGTGGTAGTGTGTGTACCCACACATCTCTAATCCCAGATCTATAGGTCCAAAGTAGGATGTCCAAGCAGGAGTCATTCAGCCCCACCCCTCCCCCTAAGTTCGTTTCCCACCTTCTGGACAATATTTTGATTACCTGGGATCTCAGAACCCAATTTCAGGATCTGTTTATGACCCCTTCCTCATACCTGACCTTCCTGAGGGCGGACCCTGCATGGCTATCAGTCTCTTGAAGCCTAAACCTGCAGGATGCTCAAGGGTAGCCATTCTCAGGGCTGAGGGTGAGGGTGGGGTAAGGACACATTAGAAATGTGAGCTTTGCTGTCTACAGAGAGCAGAACAGGCTGGGGTGGGAGGAAAGGGGCATGGGATGCAGACAAGTCTTCCCTTTGTGTTTTTGCCTCTGCCCACTCCAAATGCTAGGGGCATTTCTACACTAACAGCCATAGAAGAGAATGCTGTCCTGAAATTTGATCTCCAAATGAGGAAGCCGAGGCTTAAGGCAGTCAGTGGCTGGCTCTGCATCGTAAGACCTGTGAGGGGCAAGACAGGGACTTGGTCTGGTCTGCCTGACTGAGGTTAATTCTTGCCCAAGTTCTATGAATAGCTATGAGAAAAGACAGGGGACAATGTCACGTGAGTGGTCCCTGCATGGCTCAGTGCTTTAGGGAGTCCCATATTACAGCTCACAAACCCTAAGTTTGTTACAGAATACAGGGCAGCCTCTATCACTCAGGAGCAGATGTTTGCGTGGCACTGTGCGATCTAACAGCTCTGATGTCAGCTCTTGCTAATGCTGTTCAGGACCCAGGAAAACACCCCTCTATCTCCTGGCCTGAATCCTCAAAACAAAAACAGGATCTTTGAACATCAGTAGGGTTCATGGATTGTTCAGATACCAGTGTGGGAGACAGACAGCATTTTCAAAGTTCAGGGAGAACGTTAGTGGTGGAAACGGCAGAAAATGAGAATCAACCAGCATGTCAGTTTATATTTCTCACAAAGCAAGACTGCTATTGGTTACTGAGATGGTTTCAGTGAAAATGGCTCCCACAGATCCAAATGGACCTCATATACTTGAATCCTTGACCCCCTCGCTGGTGGAACTGTTTGAGGGAGGACTAGGAGATGTGGCCTTGTTGGAGGTGTGTCACTAGGGAGCGGGCTTTGTGGTCCGCACCAATCCTAGTGTCTTTTCCTCAGCCTGGCAGTTGTGTCTCAAGGTGTGTGTTCTTGGCTACTGCTCCAGTGCCATGCCTGCTTGCCTGCTGCTATGCTCTCTGCCATGATGGTCATGGACTCTGATCCTCTGGAAATGTAAGCCCTAAATAAATTCTATTTTTCTAGAAGTTGCCTTGGTCGTGGTGTCTTATTACAGCCATGGAAAAATAAGTAGGACAATGTCACATGCTATCATTTTCTGTTAGTGAGATCTATCCAATTCCCCCTGTTTTTCTTTGTATTCTGAGAATGTTTAGGACTGTGTGATTAACTGCAGAAGTTTCGCAGGAATATTTGCAGTGCTAAGCAAGCCGTATCACTCACAAAAATGTGCATTAGTTGTTAAATATGCACATATTTAAATGCTATAGAAAGATGTTTGTGGGCCCCGATATTAAACTATTTTAAGTCTCAAATCCCCAGTGTAATGGTACTGAGACAGGGACTTCAGGACATCACGAGGTAACGAGGGTGGAGCCCTCATGATGAGATTAGTGCCTGTCTATAAAGAAATAAAAAGAATGGGTGGTCGGGACTAAACGCTTTCAAAATTGTTAGAAAGATTGCAAAAATAAATAAACAAACCTATAAAAATGTAGAGCCAGATGGCAGGAGAGTGTCTGATGAAGGTCTAACTTCCCTTACTTGCAGATAGCCATTCTCTTTGTGTCTGCTACCCACATGGCAGGTCTACAGAAAGATCTATTCATCGTAGTTTCTGTCTCTCCCTACTCCCCCACTCATTGACCCTTTCCTGGCCCAAACAAAGCAAAACACCTAGAAGTCCTCCATAGACTTGCTGGTTGTTTGAGCTGTGACTTTACCTGTCCCTTGTTTATTCATAAATCTGGTTCAACTCATCCTGACATTTCAGAAATACTCAAAGGTCTCTGTTCTGTCCGCATCCTCCCCAACCAGGCTGTTCTTTGTCCTCCCTCAGTTTTTGTGAATGGATGTTCAGGAGGGAGAAGTATTGCCTTAGTCAGAAGTATGAGCTAAGGCTCGGGTTGGATAGTGTTCATCCATGCCCTACATGTCTTCTACTCCACAGGAAATAGACTCAGAGACTTGAGGGAGTCTTCAAAATATAGTCAAGACTAGCTGGTGGAGAAACCTGAAGTGCACAAAGCTGACTGACATGGGACAAAGAGGCAATTGTTACATATGGCTGTAGGGGTAACACTGCAGCTTTCAGAAAAGAAATGCCTAGAAAACAGAACTTAGGTCAAAGAACAAGAAGAGACTGGAATGTGTCTCAGAGGCAGAGTGCTTACCTCACATGCACAAGGACCTGGTTTCCAGCCCAGAACTGCACAAGAACTCAACATGGTAGTCACCTAAGCA